CCGATGGCCAGAGGCTGAAAAATTAAATTTCAAAATAAGGCACCTGTTTTTATCAGCGAGGGTGAATAACCAGAAGAACGTGCTCTGGAGGGAAGGGGTGGGTTCTTCACCTCAGAGCATCTTCAAACCCAGGCTGGACACCTTTCTGGAAGATCTGCTTCAGCCAGACAGGTTTTGCTCCCAATACAGGGTTAGCTGGGTGAAGCACAGAGCCTGCTAGCAAACAGAAGGTGGGAGCAGCCGATCTAATGGTCCCTGCTGGCCATGAGCTCCCTGAAGCTGGCAGGCTCTGAGGGGTTTGCCCACCTGCGCAATAGGAAGCCTCTAAGTATCCTCTCAGCTCTTTGATGCAGCCCTTGCAGACTCCTCTCTCCTACTGCAAACACCTCCCCACTCCCCCAGTTCTCTCCAGAGAAACGTCTACGCACAGATTAGGAAAAAAGCCTCTTCACTGCAGACGCTTACAGCTTCTGGGAAACAGCAGCATCCAGCCACCAGCTTTTCCATCTCACAAGCACATTCTCCCTTGGGAACCTGCCCTCTCCCCCATGTTCTTCCTCCATCACCTTCAGCTCTCCCTTTGAGGCCCTCACTCAGCCTAGGATCACCAGGTCTTGCTTTACCTCTACAAAACGCAGGCCTCTAACAACAGCCGTCCTGCCTCACACTGCCTGTCATTAGCCAGCAAGAGCTGTTCATAACTGCGTTATGCCAAGAGCAGCCTGTCCAACCATCTGTCCATCCACACACTCAGCTTCAAGAGGCAAAACTGGTTCCATTTGCCTCGCTACGCACACACTAATCTCTCAAGAGCCTCCCATTACAAGCCACTGTTTTCTACCCTCCTTCTCGCTTTACCCAATCTAAACAATCATTTGATATTTCCCAGCTGTGACCTTAAGTCAGGGAGAACTTTTGGGGAACTACAGGCTAGAGAGGAAGAAGTAAAATCATCTGTTGTGCCTAAATAACTTAGGAACCTAAGTTACCAATGTAACTTATTTCCATACAAGAGGAGGAATATAACCTATACCAGCTCAAGTCACTTACCTCAGAAAAGCTGCATCTGTACATTAGGAGCTGCCCTGGTAGAGCTATATCAGCAAAAGAAACACACCCGTCAACAACACAACTGTATCAGGCAAAAATCACTTGTCTTTATGTTACCACAGCCTGTCCGGAAAGGCCAGTCAAAACGGAGGGATAATCTTTTCCCGTTCTTTACCAGGATTGTTCCCATGAAGTAAAATCAAGGGCTGGATCACAACTGAAAATACCACCATGGAGGAAAACCATGCTGAGAAATATTTCAGGTCTCCTTGCCCTTTCGAAGGAAAGCAGGAGAGAAGGAACAAACCCAATGTCCTTTGCCTCTAATGTGCCTCCCTCCATCAGTAACTAAAAAGGACCGACAAACTTGGCTCCCACATAAAGCCTTTGCTCAGAAATTATTTCTCTACCAGACAGCCTGTTCCACAAAGCCTTTCATGAGAGCGAACACCTCCATGGCTTCATAGTGCTGGCCTTCCGCCTACCCTGCAGAGATTTCCCTACAACTCCTAAAGGAAAGAGCCAAGTCCTGAGAGCAAGGATTTCATAGGCAGAAACATGACTGCTATGGATGGCAGAGGCTGTAGGTCTGCAAGAGAAAACACAGCATGGCAACTCGGCCCAGTGTTTCTGAATCTTCACCCTTCCCGATCCAAGGGCATGCACTACACCCTCACGCAGCACTACAGGGCTTTGGTAAATGGGACCTACTCCACTGGGGCTCCACATCTTCCTGGGGCTTCCACAGCATCACAGAAAATCACAAAAGTTGATCACAGAAGATCAGCTTGAACTTTGTTTGGTTTCTTCTATGAAATGTTCAGGGCTGGTACAAACCCAACAGATATAAAAGCTGACACACCACTGCAAGCACATGTATATAAATATGCAGAGTGTTACTGTTATGCTAGTTCTCAGCCTGCAAGTTAGATCCAGACACCTTAAGTGGCAATGGTGGCAGCATTAACTGCTGCTCCCCTGCTGCACATTTCCAGCCCTGTGGGAAGCCCTGCAGGCCAAACAATGTGACCCTGTGCGCACTAGATCAGCATTTCTCAACCAGTGGGTCGCAAGAATATATGAAAAGGTCAGGAACAGACTTTAAAAATGGATCAACAAACTTTTAAAAAAGGATTTTCCTTTAAAGGAGAAAAATGTGACTTTTCCCTTGCCGTCTATCAGTTCCAGCCTGTAAGGGGCTGTTGCTCCCCACCCCCCACACATACTGGGGGCTGGGGCCTGGGGGCAGCGGGTTGGGAGTGAGGGACACTGGGTCAGGACTGTCTATCAATGTTTACAAATGGGTTCCGGTATAGAAGAGGTTGAGAACCACTGCACTACATCACGCCAGCACACTGGGTTACTTTGCAACCGGCCCAGTGTGCAGTCAGATTGGAGCATACAAGGTGTGGCCAGCACACCAGATTGCACCCGAGAACAAACCCACTTTAGAGCCAGCCCACAGACCAGCCCTGCACCAGTCATCCAGCCTGTGCAGCCAGACAGGGTGAGCACCACTGTCCTAGGCAGTTGCAACAGTGCAGAATTTGGGCATTATCACTACTGCAGACAAGTCTCTACAGCCAAGTCTTGGCACAGCCTTTTGCATTCAGGGAGCTGTCAGTTGAGCCATCCTGCCCTCCCCAGCCAAGATCACTCAATTCATTGGAAATGCTCTAGACAAGAAAGCACATAACCCAAGCTGCTTCTGCATAGCAGCCAAACAAGTAGCTATTCGAATGCTACCACAGTGATCCACAGTCACACACTGAGCAGGAACACTATAGAAACCTCAGCCATTTCCCAGCAGCCAGCTTTCCAAATGGAGTATTTCCAAGGACAGAAGCATTTTATTGGCAGGAGCAGTCACAGAATTTTAGCACCCAGACCTCCAACCAGCAGTTCACCAGCAGCACCATCCCAAGAAGCTGCCACGGGTGTAAGCCACAGAGGAACAGCACTGAACTCCCCACAGCCATAGCTGTAGTTGGCATCTGGGCCTCAGCATAAGGGGAACAGAGCCAGTGTACAAACTGCAGCACAGAGAAGATGGAGGAGAAGGCCCTATCATCCCTTGCATCTCTCTTCAACCTTCAAAGTACACCCATATAGATTCCATATTTATTAACACTCCCATAGTGAAACAGATCTGCTGCCGCTGATGCAATTACAGAAAAATCAATTTATACAGCAGCTGCTGGGATCAGCTAAACACGTGGTGAGCCCAGCATGGAGCGGAGCATGTCCAGCCCATTCAACCGGCCAGTCTGTCTCACTCTGCTGGGAGCTGGGGGGGAGCCCAAGTGCAAGGCTCTGCACTATCTCCAGCACCCGGGCCCACAGCTGCCTCCCAGGCTGAACACCTCATTCAGGGGATCTGGGAGCAGCAGAGATCTTATGCAAAGCACCTGCAACAGAGCCCACGCAGCCATCTCCAGGCCTCAGTGGCAGCCATCTCCAAACAGCTCTATAGGATCCCGGACACTGGTGCACTGAGCGAATGTAGTCCACAGTGGTACAGTGCATGGAGCCTGTAGGGCCCTCACCCAAGCTCCTGCTGGCAGCTACCCTCTCCCTAAGAGCTCCAGAACCAAGCCAAGATTTCAGGGCTCCTCTGACCCACAATGTACCGCACTGGCTTCCACAGGCCACTTCTGCTTCCCCTAGGACCCTGTGCCCCTTCAAACTGCATGTGCCTCAAGTCACAAGGAGGCTGGCTTCCTGCCAGCAGTGAGGCTCTTGCTCATGTCTAACCACCCCTTCATCTGCACCAGCCACAAACCAGAGCTTGCATTCTCAGCTCAGCACTTGGGGTATTTAAAGCTGCTCTGAGTAACTCCAGGGAACATACTGTAGGCAGGTCCCAGTCATTCAATGGAATAACTCCAGAGTTCGCCCCTACACAGGATTCACAAGTGGGGAAATGCACTTCACTGCACAGACGACGGTTCTCGAACTTCTGGCCCCTCAGAAAACACTCGGTACTGAGTCTCCCAGAAGGGCCTGACTGAGCTCAAAGACAGGCAAGATACCCCAGCACTGACCCCAAAACCTTGCCAGCACCAAGAAAACCTCATCTACAGAATAAGAACACTCCTGTTCATCTATGGGCTCAAATTATTTTTAAACACATCCTCTTGGTAGTATAGACACAGCTTAAACATTAACAGGGTAAACTCTTTTACTGCTGGCCATTTTAACAGAAATCCAGGTAGGGTAAACACCCCTCATTGCTCAATGGAGAAGAGAGGGCTGAGGCAGAGGACACCGATGTTACTGGTTGCCCGTGATTGACCTGTCCACGAAGAAGAAAGGAAAGTAATGCACTCCTTTTTCACTGACAAAATTCTAAAAAAAACCCTCTCCTCTATGGGGTCTCTAGATCCCCACAACATGCACCAGAGCCTGGCTACAGGCAGCAAACCTGGACAACAAAGAAGCCACGAGTTATTCTTCCCCTGCTCTAATTTTCATGACTCAGTAGCTGTGGACAAGGGATCTGAAAAAGCCCATCCACTAAAGACTACGGCAGAACTGTTCCTCATTCTACGACCCAATTTATATCTAATTTTGAAGAGACTGAAGCCATTCTTCCTCCCTTTCTTCAGGGAACCATTTCATGACTCACCACCTTTTGATGGCAGGGAGTTTCCTGGGAGGAGAAAAGGGTACTGCAGGCTCTCCCAGTTTCATCCACTCCAGCTCACCAGACCCCCATATATCAGCAAGCCAGAGAGATCTTGCTGAGAGACCTGCAGAGAGCACTGGAAAAATATGCCTCAACCTGCTCCTAAAAGATAGACACAGTCCCACCACAGCCTACCCTCCTGCCCCATGCACAAAGCGTCATATGAACAGAACACAGCACCACTGGCATAAGATGACAAGGCTGCAGTGGCTGTGGGATCCCTAAAGGGATATCCCCCCCTCCCCACTCACCAGCCTCTTACCTTCTCTGATTTGACCTTTTTCAGCTGCCGGCATTCACTGTCCCCATCTTCCAGCTCTGGTTTAACTCCCAAGGGATTGAGTGCTGCTCCTGTGTCAATAGCTATACTCCCAAGCTGCTCGGCAGCAGCAGGTTCTGCCCCCTGGCCCCCATCATATTGTCCCACCCTCACAGCCAGAGCGAGAGGCTGGAGCACGCTAGGCTCCTTCTCCGACGGAGCCCCTGCCCCCTCACTTCTTTCCTTCTTGCTCTTAGACGAGCTGCCCTCCTTCTCCTTCTTGGAGCCGGCCACGCTACGGGATGTCTTGGCCGATTTCTCCGAGCCCTTTGGGGTGATGGCAGCCACCAAGCTACCAGAGTTCGCACCATCCCCAGAGCGTCCCTGAACCTCCTTCTTGCCACTGCTTCCCTCACTGGGAGTGAACAGGGAGGTTCCTGGGGCAGGCTTGCCACTGTCCTTGGCACTCTTACTCCTCTTGGATTTGGACTTGCCCTCCTTGGCTTGCGGGCCTGGCACTGGGGTCACAAACTTGATGTTATCTGGCAATGTGGCCACAGCATTGGGCGCTGGCAGCCCCACCTCTTTGGAGCCCGACATCTCCAATTTCTGCTGATCCTTCTCCAAGTCAGCGTCCAGGTCAATGATGAGATTCCCTACTCCAATGTCCCACTCATCCCCACTGTCGTACGTCTCAACTGGGTTCGCATCCACTCCTTTCCCTCCGGAAGCTCCGCTGCTCAAGGACATCTTAGAGTTAACAGCCCACCTCAAGATTCAAGGCTCTTCCCTGCCCAATGCCTTCTGGATCCAAGGCAGCAGCTGCACTATGTCCTCAGGGCTCCAATGCTCCAGGTCTGCCCAGGTGACGGCATCATTGCTGAAAGGGAGACAAGAACAGGCGTTACATGGGACGGGCTCAGGGAAATCTTTCTGAGCACGTCTTGGAACAAGCAGGCCCAACTTCTCCCCCACTTGGGACCTGCACTCCTCTAGGATCCCACGGCCTCTACTCAGCTGCATGCACATTCATGCCACCACAGACGCAAAGGTCAATGTTCACCAGACTGCTACTTCAAGAGCCAGTGGGCACTGCTCCATGAGCTTACCTTGCTTAACTCAGTAAGACTTCAGAGACTAAAGCTTATTTACAGGAGCTGGGTCCTGCTGGTCCCAGTGTGGCTGTACCCCACTGCCTGTGCAGAATACCATCCCAAATACCTTCCTTCTCTGACCCCTACCATGGATGCTTTGCTTGAAAAAGCCACCTAGCTCAGTGAAACACAGCTGTCTGATCTCAGCCAGGCCATCACAGTCATCCCTCACAGAGTCCCAGCTGAGGGCTCCTCAGAGAATTCCCTAGCACCCTGGCCACCGCCACAGCAGCAACCATCTGGCATCACTCCCTCAATCAATACAGGCCTTGGCAGGTCACAGCTCTCAGCTTCAACAAGACATTACTCACATGCTCCCTGCTCGCCATTTCCCTCTGAATTATTGAACACCCCCTGCTCACACAGCTCCTGGGATGGAGGCTAGATCCCTCCTAACAAAGCTCCTGGGATGGAGACTAGAGTCATTTCCTAGAGCAAGACACTGACTTTCCATCCCTGAAGCTCGGAGCACACCAGAGAAGGAACATGATGCGTTATCTCACTAGAGGAGCACCAAGAAGAGCCTGACTCCTCAAAAAGCCATCACAACATGTGACACAAGTGCAGGACCAGGAGAGGCTGAAAACCAGCAGGCCAGAACTGAGCAGAGCTGTTAAGGGGGAGTCCAGGGCTGGAATAGCCGTGGCGGGGGAAAGTGGGGGGCAGTTGCAAGTTAGGATAGAGGGGCACAGCAGAGCTGTGGAGGCAGCCAGGACTGACACTGCAGGAGGGCCTGTGTTTCCACACAGGGGCCTTTCTGGTGTCGCATGAAGGAAGCAGAAGCTACTCCTGCCCACGCTACGCCAGTCAGCACTAACCTACTCTCCCACGCCAGCCTAATCCCTAATACAGGCTCAGATCTGGGACGCACTCAGATGCATTCTGCAGTGGGCACTTCCCTGGAGACAATTGTGAAGTAAGCCACAAAAAAAAAAAAAGCACCAGAGTCACTAACTGAAATTAGCTGGTGGCGATTACATTTACGAGACATAATTAACACATGAAATAGCTTCTTCCCAGCAGCCAGGCAGCCGGCAACACAAAACCCAGCCCTTCCTTCCCAGACTCTCCCCTCGACCAGCCCTCCAAAAGCAGCCCCTCTGTAGTGCCACTGTACTCCCCCCCCTTTCTGAGTACAAGGGCCCAATGAGTCATGTTATTATTTATGAGGAACTCTTAAAAAAAAAACAAACAAAAAAAAAACAGGTGACTCTTTTTCTTTTTTAAATTAAAAAATGCATTTTTAAAAAGCCCCAGCAGGCAGGAGCCTGGAAAGCAGCTTCGTGATGCATTTCCAGAGACACAAACACTGTAAAAATGCCAAGGATTCTTTCATTGCACGGGCTGCAGCAGCCAGATCATTTTCCATCTGCTCCCCACAGCATCCCCAGCTCTGTACAGCTAATAATCCACTCTCTGACAGGTCATTACAGAGATTTTTAACCCCAGGAGCCAGGGGCTAGCATGCAAGCTGGAAATGAAAAGCACTGACCTCTCATTTCAATGGCAGAGAAAGTGCAGAATCAGGAGAACGCTGCACGCAGCACTGGAGTCACTAACAGCTTTCAAAAGCCGCCATGTGTGTTCCTCCCTCCCTCTTCCCTTGCCCCAGCCTCCCCCAACACAGGAAAGCCACTTCCCAGCTTGGCGAGAGCACAGCAGTCAGCCTCCTCAGCTCTTCCCAACCAGCTGCTCAAGTCTACCTGCCTCTCTGGAGCTGCTCTCCCTGTCCACCACTGCCAGAGAGTGAGTGCTATTTGTGCTTTGCTGCTCCAGCTGAGATCGCAGACTCCCTGCTCACTGCACGGCTTGGCCTGGGGGGAGGGACAGCGACATGCAGTGATCAATTCTCTTCACTTAGCCCCGTGCCACCAAAGCCAAAAGCAGCGAAGAATCTTCCCACCAAGCTCTGGTGCCCACCCCAACTTGTGGCCAGCAGAGCATTCATGTCCCAGGAACTCCCTTTGTACCTCCTGCCTCCAGCAATTCCTCTGTCCAGATGACAGGGGGATAAGGAGTAAAACTGCCTGCATTTTTAGATTCTGAAAGTCCTTGCTGAGGACAAGATCAGCCCAGAGGACAAGGCACATGGTATCTATTCATGGCATTTCAGAGATAACTGATTCTGCTTTGGCCCAAAGGCCTTCTTCCCTCCGGCATGCAGAAGGGGAAGAAGGATTTGTCAGGTAATGCCAGTTCTGGAGCATTCCTGGCAACACAGCCCAGGCCCAACCTTGCTTCAACCTCATGACACCCTATATTTGTCCTATCAATGGCACAAAAGGAGATGATGGTGGCTCCTGTGATCAACTGAATCCAAGTCAGGAGTTCCTGGGACCACACCTGACTTGGATTCAATGGATCACAGTAGCCACCATCATCTCCTTTTGACATACCAGTGTAGCCCATTAAGACTGCTAAGCCCAACAAGCAAAGCCACACACTGCCGAGTGCAAGGCACCATAACCAGGAGCGACCACAACAGGACCAATACTGACTGTGCTGGATAGTCTAGTAGCCTGCTTCTGCTTTGCTCTGCACCAAAGCACTGGGATGGAGGAGGTTTCACCTCTTTGCTTTCCTATACTCTCTCATATGTACTGCCATTTTTAAAACATGAGCTAAAGAGTAGGGCTCTGGCCTAGCCCAAGCAAACAAACCTAGCATCTCTATGCGATTACCAAGGCCCTAGCCCCCTAGAAGGAAAATAGGTCCTGCAGATGCACCAGGTCCCCAGAGAAAAGAGGCACAGGATCAAACAGAGGTTTCAAGAGTACAAGTAGGGCAAGCTCATCCTGAAAAAGAGAAGCCAGAGGAGACAGGGCCCTACAAACACAGACAAGGAGGTCAGAGATAATCGCAGACCAGACAGGCAAGAATGGGCTCTGTAGCAAGGACTGCTCCAGGGCAGGGGAGGGAAAGCACTGTAATGCCAAGTGAATTCCAGCCAAGGGGGCCAGGCAAGAAAGAAAGTAGGGCATTGCTGTCATTAAAGAGACCTCATGCAGAGCAGTCTTCCCAACCAGCCAGCAGCCCACGTGTTGGAGAGCAATGGCAGGAAGAAGGACTCGCTGACCCAAAGGCCACTTCCATCTCAGAGGAGTGATTCCCAAGGTCCCAGATCCCATCACACACTCCTGTGCTCATTGTCTTTCACTGCGAGTCATCTGTGTGGTGAAACTCAAGCCACTGACTCCACCTCAACATTGGTGCTGTGCCCCAGTCACCACCTCCAAGCTCCTGTTTTGAGCCTACTTTGTATCCTCCAGGCCCCAACACACCTACATGACTTTTGCCATGGGCTAAGTGCCTCTGGTCCCTCTTCAACTCAGTGCTACCACTTTACTAATGTGGCCTCACAGCCCAACCAGGCTAACACAGCTTTGGCAAAGAGCACGGGGCCACACGGGTGCACATGCACACCACAGACTGTCCGGAAGCCCCCAAAGCGCCAAGTAGTCAAGCAGGTCCGCCGTGGGCAGAAACCTAGAGGTCACATTGAATTTTCCTGTTCTTAGTTGCAAGAGCCAGTAAGCTGGAATGAGTGGGAAACAGGAAGTGATTTGGGCACCCCTCTAAAATGCCTTCTTCATTAAGTAACGTATCACTGCAAGGAGCACACCATACCCTCAACTTCACCCAGGCAAGCCCAGAGGTGCAGACACAGGGTGCTCTTCTGTAACCAAACGCAGGACTTAGCACCAGCTGTAGAGGGAAGTGAAAACTAGGGCAGACAAGTCAACTCAAAAAACATCGAGGGACTTCCCACATCTTCCTGACTAGATGAAGAATTCCCCTACATGCAGCAGGGGGACCTAGCTGCCCCTTCGTCCCACAGGAGGTGCAGCCTGTGGAGACTACGGGTTCCAGCATGCAGTGCTGCCCCCATTTTGGAGCAGAGCAGTGCATGCTGGGCCTGTAATCACCATAGGCCCCACCTCCCCACTGGGGAAGATGGACACCACAGCCTGATCCATTTTACACAGCTCTCGTGCAGTCCTCCCCCATCCTGACCAGCTGCCCTTGCTGGGTGCCCGCTGCATGCCCTGCATTCTCCCAGCCAAGAACTAGAGGACTTGGGTAATTCATGGAATCGCACAAACAGATTTACACAGCCACAATTCATCCTTCCCCTCAGCCCCGGCCATTGAGAGATTGATCCCTACACAACATGAAAAGCATGTGCTCACTTGTTGGGCTGGAGACCTGCCAACAAAGCATTTTAACAGCCATCCTGGAGCAAAGATCCTACCAGGAGACAGCTCTCCACTTGGGAATGCTGCGCACACAGTGCCAGACATGAATAATTCAGCTCCACTAGGTGCTGGGACCTCTACAATCCCCAGCTAGGCGCTGGGAGGGAGCCAACACATTAGAGGCAAACCTGAAAGTTCACTTTCTGAGCTAGCAGCCGCTGGCAAAAACACAACTCGAGAAAGCTATTCAAATAGGGCGAGGGAGTGCTTCAAACCAGCACCAAGCAGAGCTGGGAAACCATGCGAGCTGGAGCCCTTTGTGTAAAATCACATGCAGGCGACTCCTCTGTGAAGCCACAGATCTGCATTGCTTCTAACTTTCCACCGTCAAACAAGAGGCGGAAAAAGCTAAACAGGGACTGACTGAACACCCTAGGGCGACAAAAACCAGGAGCAAGCCATTCTGCTGGCAGCAAAGCAGCCAGCCCACACATAAAAAGACTGCCTCGTACCCATGTGCTCGAGTCTGTGACGCTCTGGGATTAGCCTCTGGTGGCTTCCAGACATGACTGACTGCAATTTTCACCCTGATTAACTTTCAGGAATGCCCACAACGAGGAACAGCAAAGACGACGGAAAATCTCCAGCACAAGGCGTTTCCTCTGGCCAGGCAGCTGCCATTCTCCAACACAGCAAAGCTGAGAAGGATTTCAAAGGGCTGCTTGCCCTTTCTGGGTCCAGCCATAGCAGCAAATGCCTCAAGGAGTCCCCCCCCCACCCCAGAAAGACAAGCAGAGCAAGAGGCAAATGCAGCACTGGCCAGGGGTGGAAGCAGAGAGGCAAGATCAGGGGCATGGCTGCCTTTGCCAAGGCCCTAAACTGATCCCTGCAGCCTTGCCCAGCATATACCAGTTATCCCATCTGGCAGTACTAGTGTGCACCCTGCCAAACGCGCCCACACAGGAATGTGAGAGGACATGGTGCTGCGGGGCCCTCTCTCTTGCCATGTATTGCTGGCAGCCAGCCGACAGCTTTCCCCATCCGCTGCCTCAATACAAGATCCTTTTTTGTTTCCTTTTACGACTAAAAGAAATTGTGAGGGGGGCGGCGGGGAGCAGGGAGAGAGAACATGCCTCCCTTTCCAGACACTAGCTCCCTGCTCCACTCCAAGCGCTACATCTGTAATCCCCCCCCAGCCTGGTTTGTTTGGGTTGAATTTTCTTAAAGTAACTCCCATGTCTTTCTGGTCGCTTTCTGTTTAAGATGTTCCTTTCTCCCCGCCCCCTCTCTCTAGTGATGGAAAAAAAAAAAGCAATGCTGAACGCGAGCCAGCTGGCACGCACAAGAGGAGACGGCAAAAGCTGCACAAAGGAGCTTCCTCACTCACTCGCTGCTTTTAGCTCAAGAAATCACGCAGGGGAGGAGGGTTTCATTCCACTCCGTGCATCAGCCAGGCTGGAGCAGACAAAGGACTTCAGACCATGACACCCCTTTGGAGCAGCCCCCACCCCACAGGGAAGATTTCCTGGAGCCCATCTGCACAGTGGGAGTCCAAGATGTTGCAAAACACACTGAAGTGCAGGACTTCAAAACAAGCTGCTCAATCTGGAATGAACCAAGGGGCGAATAGGAGGACTGGCATGCACCCATTGTCCTCGTGCCACCTTCCAACCAGGGGCTGCTGGAGTGAACCTGAGCAAGGGCCACACTGGCAGCCTAGCAATAGCACATGGGCTGCACCCAATATGAATAAAATGGAGCCACCTCTCCCTCTCTCTCTTTTAACATGGAAGTGTGCCCCACAAAGACTACAGGATCCAGCATGCAGTGCAGCCAAAGTTTTTGGCTAAGGGTAGAAGAGTGCATGCTGGGACAGAGTTTCCCTAGACCAGTGATTCTCAACTGGGTGCTTCAAGATCATTTAAAAAACGCGGCAGGATCCCACACAACGTTAGAGGTGTGCAAATGTGATTTACGAGATCCACTCACAGAGTTCAAACAGGAATCTGTAGTTTTAAAAATATTCTGCCCTGGTGTGGCCTTTCTAAGGTCTTTGCAATAAAATTGCTCTGTTATTTTTCTATAGTCAAAGAACAAGTGAAAACTAGGAGCTAGCATCTTCCTGGGGATGTCTCCAGTCTATTGAGGGGGGCTTTATCAATGAGTGCCTCGAGTGTAAAAAGATTAAGGAACCACTGCCCTAGGCGCACCTTTATTGGAGAGAGGAGTCTATTCCACAGCAGCATTTGGTCTATGAGCTGTTCGTTGTAAAACGCTGATATCTTGGAATGAAAGGCACAACCGAGGCACAGAAAACAGCATCCTATGCCCCTTCTGCTCCTGCTTATAAATACCCCTTTGACAAGGAGAAGCAGGTAATTG